ACCAAAATGGGGTGTAAAAAACATGAAATTGCCGGAAAATTCCCGTTTTTCGCCCAAAGAGGGGAAAATTCCAGGGTTTTTTGGGGTTTTTTTCCCGGATTTTTCCAGGTTTTCCATGCGGAAAGGTCCTGGAAGGTCGATAAGGAAAAAAATCGGGATTAAAAATAAATAAAATTTGAATAAAATTGAGGGGAAAATCACCGAGTTTTTTTCAAGTTTTGGTGAATTTAACGCAAAATTTACGATTTTTGGGCGTTCTGACCCCAAAATTTCCAAAATTCGCCTCAAAAGTCGTAAAATGACCTCAAAAGGTCCTGAAAGGGCGAGAAAAAATATTTAAAATTCGTGAAAAAATTGATTAAAAAATTTAAAAAATTTCGTTAAAAATGTAAAAAAAAATTCCCAAATCCATCAAGGAAATCCTGAGCCCAAAATCCTTAAAATTCCACCCAAAATTCCCCTCAGGATCTCCCAAATTCCCGCCCAAAAAAGGTCCTGAACGGTCAAAAATCCACCCTAAAAATTCAAAAATAATTATTAAAAAATGAAAAAAATTTCCGAAAAATTCCAAAAAAAATCCCCAAAAATTTCCAATTTTTTCAATTCAACCCCGACCCCAAAATCTCCACAATTCTCCCCAAAATTCCCCTCAGGATCTCCCAAATTCCCGCCCAAAAAAGGTCCTGAAAGGTCAAAAAACCCACCCTGAAAATTTTAAAAAAATGTGAAAAAAATTCTTAAAATATGAGAAAAATTCCCAAAAAATTCCCCAAAAATTCCCAAAAATTCCCCCAAAATTCCCAATTTTTTAAATTCAACCCCGACCCCAAAATCTCCACAATTCTCCCCAAAATTCCCCTCAGGATCTCCCGAATTCCCGCCCAAAAAAGGTCCTGAAAGGTCAAAAATCCACCCTGAAAATTTAAAAAAAATTATTAAAAAATGAAAAAAATTCCCAAAAAATTCCCAAAAAATTCCCCAAAATTCCCAATTTTTTCAATCCAACCCCAACCCCAAAATCTCCACAATTCTCCCCAAAATTCCCCTCAGGATCTCCCAAATTCCCGCCCAAAAAAGGTCCTGAACGGTCAAAAATCCACCCTAAAAATTCAAAAAAAATTATTAAAAAATGAAAAAAATTTCCGAAAAATTCCCCAAAAATTCCCAATTTTTTCAATTCAATCCCGACCCCAAAATCTCCACAATTATCCCCAAAATTCCCCTCAGGATCTCCCAAATTCCCGCCCAAAAAAGGTCCTGAAAGGTCAAAAATCCACCCTGAAAATTTAAAAAAAATTATTAAAAAATGAAAAAAATTTCCGAAAAATTCCAAAAAAATTCCCCCAAAATTCCCAATTTTTTAAATTCAACCCTGACCCCAAAATCTCCACAATTCTCCCCAAAATTCCCCTCAGGATCTCTGAAATTCCCGCCCAAAAAAGGTCCTGAAAGGTCAAAACACCTCAGTGAAAATTGAAAAAAAAAAAAGAAAAAAATTCTTAAAAAATGAAAAAAATTCCCGAAAAATTCCCAAAAATTCCCAATTTTTTCAATTCAACCCCGACCCCAAAATCTCCACAATTCTCCCCAAAATTCCCCTCAGGATCTCCGAATTCCCGCCCAAAAAAGGTCCTGAAAGGTCAAAAACCCACCCTGAAAATTTAAAAAAAATCATTAAAAAATGAAAAAAAATCCCAAAAAATTCCCAAAAAATTCCCCAAAATTCCCAATTTTTTCAATCCAACCCCAACCCCAAAATCTCCACAATTCTCCCCAAAATTCCCCTCAGGATCTCCCAAATTCCCGCCCAAAAACGGTCCTGAAAGGTCAAAACACCTCAGTGAAAATTGAAAAAAGAAAAGAAAAAAATTCTTAAAAAATGAAAAAAATTCCCGAAAAATTCCCAAAAATTCCCAATTTTTTCAATTCAACCCCAACCCCAAAATCTCCACAATTCTCCCCAAAATTCCCCTCAGGATTCTCCAAATTCTTCCCGAAAAAAGGTCCTGAAATGACGTAAAAAAACCCAAAAAATTCCTTAAAAAAAAACTTTAAAAATCCGGGAAAAATTCCCAAAATTCTCAAATTTCCCCAAAATCTCCAAATTCCCGAGAATTCCCTAAAAAAATTCCCATTTTTCCCCTCAAAACTCACCACTTCTTTCAGCAGTTTTTCCGGGGGCAACCCCTGAGCCAAAGCGTTCAAAGCCTGAGGGGGGAAGAAAATTGGGTCAAAAACTCCCAAATTTGGGCAAAATTCCCATCAAAAATTGGGAATTTCTCCCTGAATTTGGTGAATCTTTAAAAAAAAATGGGAAAAGAGCAAAAAAATTGGGAAAATTTGCAGCAAAACGATGAAATTTGGGGTTAAAATGGGTTTAAAATTTGATTAAAAATGGAAATTTTTGGGGAAAATGAGAAGATTTCCAGGAAAATTTGGGGGATTTTGGGAAAAGTGAGGGAATTTTGGGGTAAAATGGTGGGAATTTGGGGAAAACTCCATGGAAAAAGGGGGATTTGGGGGTAAATTGGATGGAAATGGGTGAAAAGTGGGAAAATTCCCCAAAAAATGGGGGAAATCCTCAAAATTCACCCAGAATTCTGCAAAATTTGGGAAAATTCCCCCCAAAAATGGGAAAAATCCTCAAAATTTGGGAAAATTCCCAAAGAAATGGGAAAAATCCCCAAAATTTGGGAAAATTCCCATTAAAATGGGAAAAATCCTCAAAATTCACCCAAAATTCTGTGAAAATTCTCAATAAAATGGGAAAAATCCCCGAAATTCACCCAAAACTCAGAGAAATTTGGGAAAATTACCAAAAAAATGGGAAAAATTCCCCAAAATTCACCCAAAACTCTGAAAATTCCCAAAAAACTGGGAAAAATCCTCAAAATTCATCCAAAATTCTGCCAAATTTGGGAAAATTCCCCAAATAATAGGAAAAATCCCCAAAATTTGGGAAAAGTCCCAAAGAAATGGGAAAAATCCCAAAAATTCACCCAAAATTCTGTGAAAATTCTCAATAAAATGGGAAAAATCCCCCAAATTCACCCAAAACTCAGAGAAATTTGGGAAAATTCCCAAAAAAATGGGAAAAAATCCCCAAAATTCACCCAAAATTCTGCAAAATTTGGGAAAATTCCCCCAAAAAAATGGGAAAAAATCCTCAAAATTTGGGAAAAGTCCCAAAGAAACAGGAAAAATCCCCAAAATTCACCCAAAATTCTGCAAAATTCCCAATAAAATGGGAAAAATCCCCAAAATTCGCCCAAAATTCTGCCAAATTTGGGAAAATTCCCCAAAAAATGGGCAAAATCCCCCCAAAAATGGGGAAAATCCCCAGGATTCACCCAAAACTCTGGGAAAATTCCCCAAAAAATGGGAAAAAATCCCCAAATTTGGGAAAAGTCCCAAAGAAATGGGAAAAATCCCAAAAATTCACCCAAAATTCTGTGAAAATTCCCAAAAAAATGGGAAAAATCCCCCCAAAAATGGGAAAAATCCCCAAAATTCACCCAAAATTCTGTGAAAATTCACAAAGAAATGGGAAAAAATCCCCCAAAAATGGGAAAAATCCCCAAAATTCACCCAAAATTCTGCCAAATTTGGTAAAATTCCCAAATAAATGGTAAAAATCCCCCGAAATCCAACAAAAAACAGGTAAAAACTCCAAATAAAAATGGGGAAAGCTGCAGGATTTTGGGAATTTTTTAGGAATTCCCACCTGGGCGGCGGCGTGGCGGGGGCAGGGCCCCTGTCCCCCTTCATCTTCATCCCAAATTTCCTCGGGATCGGGATTTTCCGGGCGGATTTCGGCGCAAAGAGGGACCAGGAGCCCCCTGAGGACCAGGCAGAGGAGGTTCCCACGCAGCAAAGCCTGCACCAGTAAAATCCAGTAAGAACCAGTATGAAAATCAGCGTTTTTTCCCCCGTTTTTGAGGGTTTTAGGAGTCACAAAGTCCCTCCCAGTATAAACCAGTGGCTCCCAGTCTCACCCTGGGTCTCTTCTGGGCGAGGAAGGTGACGGTGGCCAGCGCCCGAACTCGCACGG